CGCCCCTGTATCGCCCCCGCCCCCAGGGTCCGACTCCCAGACCAGGCAACCTCCGGCCCATTCGGCTCCGCCTCTGCACCGTGCCCCGCCCCCGGGACACACCCACGCGCCAACGCCCCGCCCCAGACACATCCTCGCGTCACTGACGCGACCCCCTGGCCAAAATTCAAGACCACTCGCTTTTACAGAGAGACTCGGAGGGGATCTACTAGTAGGAGAGGCAGACATGTCTGGAGCCACGGTCTGCCCCGCCCCATTCAACTCCCTCCGGGTTATGGCTCCTCTCTAGCTCCTCCCCGCCCACAACAAAACCATGTCTTCCGCCCTTATGCCCGGATCTCATCGTTTACTGTTCCAAGCTGGCGTGTCCGACCAAGCCCAACCTACACGGTTTTCCATTCCCCTTCTCCCTCTCCCACCCTAGCACCTCCCACAACGAAGAAAAAAACTGACAGAAATCTTGTCCTCTGAACTCTCTGTTTACACGGCTCATTTGAGAAGTAATTGATCCTGTTTATTGAGCATCTGCTAAGTCTCAGACATTGTGCTAGCCGTTTTACATTGCATCATCTTATTTATCCCTGACTGCAATTCTACCAGGGAAGTAATTTTCCCTATTTTACATGGACGCTGGGGCTCAAGGAAGTGAAGTGACTGTTCAAGATCACACAGGTAGTAACTGGCAGAGGCAGGCAAGATTTAATCTCGAACCTGACGCAAAGTCCACACTCTTAACCTGGAGTCCACCTTAGAATATATTCTCTTGAGCAGCAAAACCTCAGTCCCATTCATTCATTTATTCCATCAGTATTTATTGCGACCCTGTCTGTACCAAGGTCTGTGCAAGCGCCAAGAATAGAGGTGGGGGGCGGGGGGAAACAGACAAAATAGCCCTGCCGTTAGGAGGTTACATTCCAGTGGGAGGAGACAAATGATAAACAAAATAAAAGATATAGTATGTTAGATAGTGATAACTGCAAAGGAGATAACAATAAATAAAAACAGGGCAAGGCTATATGAAATCTATCTATATCCCTAAATAACCTCTTTGTCTCAATGAAAGTCATTGTCTTACCTCAGTAACCTGTGCCTCTCCCTCTCCCACCACCCCCTCCCCGGCCACCCACCACACACACATCCCTTTCCCTTGCTATAGGCAGGGACTGGCGCATTCTAGGGTGGAGCTCGCTTTTTAGTAAATCCGTTTAGGAATCCTGGGCTCTAGGCCTTGGGCAAGTCTCTGGGCCTCAGTATCGCCATTAGCATATGAAGGAGTTGGACTGGAAAGGATCCCTAAGGTGCCTCCTTCCAACTCTGACGCTCTAGAATTCTATGAATAGGAGTAAAGAGAACCGGGACCGGCAATTGCTTCCCCACCCTAGCAACTGTTGCTAGATGAGGGCCACCTCCAGGTTGGACTGGAAACTCCTCCCTGGATCGGGGAGGTCTCTTTGGCATCCCATCATGCATCGCGACTTAGCCTCGCTAGGAGGCACGTTTTGACCTCTTTGGTCACGACCATCCCTTTTAATCCAGCCAAAGAGCGCTCCTCGTTCCTATGGCAACCGTGCCTGGTCCACGCGCAGACGGCGGGTGACAAGGGTCAAAACAGATTCTAAGACTAGACGCTCTCTACCTGTTCAGTCCGTGCCTGCGATGCGCCGGGCCTTTAAGTATCACGTGACTCCCTTCAGGCTTGTCTCCTCCTCCTTCCCCTCCCCAGGCCCCGGCGAGCGCTAGTGTGGACCGGAGGCTCCCAGCCGGCGGACTAACTGGATCTCGGACGCTGCAGTCATTTAGGCCGGTGCCCTTTCCCGGTAACTCCTTCCCGGCGTGACGCGCGGAGCCGCGGACGCGGCGGGACCGGGCAGGTTCAGGAATCTCCCTTCAGTTCCTCCTTGTTCTCGGTCCCCGCTGGGCCTGGGGAGAACCGGGAGCCCACAGGGCCCGGCCCAGGGCTCTCGAAGGGCAGCAGAGGAGGCGACCGTCTCCTGGAGGGTTGCGACCTCCGGCGGGAGCTCGAGGCGGGGCTCAGGCCACGAGCGTGTTTCTGGGAGCAGCTGCCTGGTTTAGGTGATATTGCCCGAGGGCGGTAGTCTACCTGTTGGGCACGTTGTTTCCTGCCCTGAGGCCGGCACCCTCAAGCTGTCAGCAAAAGAACTTCACAGCCCCCTGCCACTCGGGCCCTCTGACTGGAGGCGACTGACACAGTTGAATCAGGCAGTGATTGCACTGCACGGTAGAAAAAATAATAAGTACCACTTATTGACTCTTGACCCTGTGTTCAGTAAATCCTTTACGTACATTTAACTCCCATGTTGACCCTTTCAAGATGGTATTATTCACCCCTGTTTTTTAATGAAGTCACTGAGGCTTAACAAGTTTAAGAAACTTGCCCAAGGTCATAAAGTGGTGGAGGATGGATCCCAATCTTAGCCTGATTTCAGAGCCCATGTGCTTAACCAGTAGCTACATCACATTCTCAATTTTTAGCGCGCTGTCGGTGTTTTGTAAGATAGAATAGGTTATAGGTTGCCTTAACAAAGAAAAAACTGATTTGTTTTAGGGTTTTATTCAGCAGTCATGCAATCTTAAACATTGGCCATCAAGCTAGTCAATTTTGTGAGGACTCCCAGGCAGCATTTAGACTTCCACCTGTCAAAACCCACCAATGTTACAGCTTTTGCCCACCCTCTTAAGGTGTCACAATAGACACTTGAACCTTAAAACTGTAGTAATTTATAAGAAGTCAAAGTAAATATGGCCCCTGAAAAAACCTTGATATCACAAAGATCATAATTCTGAAGTGTGTCTGTGCATTACAGCACTGCCTTTTTCATTAACCAGGCAGAATTATTTCTAAAACCCACAATGAATTCAGTCTCTACACTTACAAAGGTGGAGGTTTAGTATTTGAAGATCATGTCTGGTCTTCAGTCTGTGCCATTAATTCCCCTTCACGTGGAAAACTTAATTTTTTCTCACCACTTTTTCTCAAAATTCACCGAAAAAGTTGAGTATTTCCCGAGGTCTCTGTTTATAATGACCCTATTGCCAATGATCAAATTAAAGAGCAACTTGTCATTTTTTTTGTTGGAATGGGCATGGTGAGAAATAGAATGGAGGCATATTAAATCATACTTGCTCAGTTTTACAGGAGTATCTCACTTTTATATTTGTTCTTATTTAACTCCCAAGAACATCACAACTATCTCATCTGGTAGTTTTGCACATGGTAAATCTTATGATTTTCACGAAATTATGTAGCATATACTCAGCGAAGTATTCTTAAGTCGTATTTTAAGTTTAAATTGTCAGCATAAGTGAAATCGTATAATGGAGATGTCACCTTGATTTTCCTACGTTTTTCCACATTTGCTTATTATTTATCTCATTCATTTTTCAGTCATTTCTAAAGCTTTTCTAATCCAAGGATTCTAGACAGTTGCTATTCTTATTGCTCATCTTTTCATCTATAATAGTTCTTATTTGTGATATAAACAGTAGTGAGATTATTGATTTTTAAAGTATGGTCAAACAGCTTGACACTTTTCCTGCAAAATATCTTTTGTTTTGTTTTTCATCTACATATCTTATACCTTTACCTAAAAAGCAAGACACTCCACGTTTCTACCACTGAAACTGTTGCCTCTTCAATCATTTCAGCTCTGGGAAGGAAGAGAAATGGAAGTGAAAAAGTTGAGCATATCCTGGCAGTTCTTGATAGTTCTGGTTCTGATCCTGCAAATTCTGTCTGCGTTGGATTTTGACCCATACAGAGTCCTAGGGGTCAGCCGAACAGCCAGTCAGGCTGATATTAAAAAGGCTTATAAGAAGCTCGCCCGGGAATGGTAGGTGAAATAAAGAAATAGTTTAATATAAGCTAAGCAGTTTTAGCAGGAAAATGAAGCCTAAATTATGGTTAGCTTTTATTTGTCTCTGTTTCTGTGTTCAACAAATATATAATATATATCTGTCTAAAATATTTTACTCGAGAGAACTAATGTTCATGTTATCCTATAATTTTTGGTGATTCAACCCAAATCCCGAGTTACTATGAAACCCCCTTAATTGCCCTAGATGCTGTTAGCATATTTAATGTTAAAGTAAAGAGGGAACTTTAATTTTTAAAATATATATACAACAACATATGTAAGGATGAGCTACCCTTCCCATGATGTTGTTCATAACGTAACTCTTTATGAGTGTCATTGCTAAAGGGAATACTATCCAATTCTGTTTTCTAAATTAAGTTTTAAGCTTTCAAAAAGTTTTTAAAGAGCTTTTGCCCTCGATTTAAAAGGAATATTCAAGAATCGGGTATACTACTATTAAAAATTATCTTATAGCAAAATCATAATTTTACCTGCAGATAAATATATGTGCTAGAGAATATACACGTGTTTGTGAATTAGCAGGATAGCAATAAATTTAAAACTTATTTTGAACAGAGATCATTAGTTTCTTCCACTAACGCTATGGACTTGCCAAAGGAATAGAAGTGTTGGATTATAAATCTGGAGAGATGCAGCAGGAGCAGAGGAGGGAAAGGACACAGGTGACTACGAAGCTGGGTGAACCAAGCAGAAGGTTTGGGATGGGAAGCCTTCCCCAAGGTTTTATCACCTACGGCATGCTAGGCTCCAGGTTGCAGTTTTCAATCTCGTTTAAATCTCATTAATCCTCTGTGAGGGAGATGTGTTGCTGCCCCTCTTTTATGAGTGAGGAAGTTATACTTAGAGTTAAGTCTGTGTTACCCCCGGCTTCCATAGTTGGACCTTTGAGGACCAACGGGTAGTTTATTGCTTTTTGTTTGTTGATCACTTAGCCATTTGGACAGAAGCAAGAGTGAGTGGGTTAGTGTTTGGGTGGACAGGAAGTTATACAGGAGCAAAACTGCCACATGCAGATGACATTGTAGGCTGTGCATGACTGCCTGACACCCATTATTCTTCAGTGAAAGATGTATCTTAGTTTTAAGCTGGTTGCGATAAAGGTAAAAGATAGTTTTAAAATACAATGTTTTGAGTAGGTAGATATTTTAGACCATATTCATATCATGAGAAAGCCAGAATTGGATACTAAAAGCACAAGCTCTAATTATGCATGACCTCTTTCCAGGGGCTCTCTTTACAGCAAAGTTGCTTTCTGCATCATTTCAAACTCTTGCCTCTTTATGTTTAAAGCAAAATTTATAAATCTGCAATGAATTCATAAGGTAGCCACATCCTTTTGTACAGGGTATGGCCTGTGACAGCATTTTAAAAGCAGAAGGAATAGCTTGAGTATGTGGGACCTATTTAAAACACAGCTTTGACTTTACTGTCTTCCAGAGCCGAAAAGGGTGTTATGATATTAATTAAATGAATCATATGCTTCTCTTCCTTAATTAGATTCTCTCTAGGAGTAATTCATCACCATGGAAATATATAGAGTATCATCCAGTGAAAGTCTAAAATTTTACTTTACCTTTGTATTTTCACTGTATTATTATTTTCTGCTTTTAGTTATGGCAGTGTTTTATCACTGAAATAGTTTGTTTCATTTTGTAATGGTTTCATATGCACTGAAAATAGTAGTTTCTCAATTTGACTTTTCAAAATGAGCTATGGCCAGGGAAGTGATTAATTGTTGAACTGGATTTGTAGCCTTCCTCTGCTTTTACTTACCACTTAATAATGTTGCTCAGACTTCTGAAGAGCTTTCTCCTTGTTTGGTGAAACCATTTAAAATTACCTTTTCTCTCAGGAAAACTCTGTTTCTCTCCCAGTAATTAAGCTTTATCATACTTTTCCTTTGTCATCTACATGGGCAGAATAAAGAACTCCCAATCCAAGAAAAAGGCATCGTAAAATTTGATTTGAAGCAAATGAGTATAACATGGTCAGTCGCCTTAACAGTAAATTGATTTGTCTAACACAGTAATTACTTTTTATGTTTATTGTCACTCTTTCTTTGTATTTTTTATTTCTCTTTTAATTACAGTTGACATTCAAACTATATTACTTTTTCTACCTTCCTTTTCATTCCCTTAGAGATAGCTCGACAGCCAGTAGATACCAAGTACAGTATTTTCTTCACTTTGAAATTTAAAGGATGTGTATTATATTGCAGTTTGTGAAACGTTTCATATACACTGAGAAAATAGCATTGGACAGTACTTTCCTAGAGCTGAATTTATCCTTTTCTGAATGTTTTCAACTTTGTGGCGTCTCTATGTGATTAGGAAAATATTCCTTATAAGCTGAAACTGTTCCGTGGTTTCCTCCCAATTCTTGGGCCTTGGTTTCCTCTGTGGTAGGATCTGTGGTTTTAACCTAACTGCCTTCACAACTCTCTCTTTGGTTCAGTCCCTTCCTACCCTTCTCCCCCTACAGAGTTCTGTGCGTTAAGTCTTCATTTATGTGATCGCATAATTTTATCTTCTCTGCCTTTAGCCTAAGTTTGAATATTTAAAACACTTTTTTTTTGTCATCCAGAAACATGCTTTGAAACCATCGTTTGTTTCCTTTTCATACTATTTTCATTACACCTAGCCAAGATTCTTTTCCCCACTAATGTTCATAACAAGGATTAAATAGTTAAAGGAGTGATGTCCAAATTCAACAGCCCACCATTCGAAGTTTCTCTCTTTTTCTAGAAATCAGAATATGGGGTATAATTCGTTCAGATATGTTTCTGCTAACATAAGGTGGTCAAGTGGTAAATTTTTTTTCTTCCAGTATACTTGGTGCTATTTTTAGTAGTCATTTGCTTCCCAGCGGATTCTCTGTTAAGAACCTTTGCTAGAGGAAATTGACTAGGTGCTAGCAGAAGTGATTACATAATGAATAAGCTCTCTAATAGAGTCTCTTACTAAAATGAACATTGAAAAATCTAACACTGATTTAGATCCTAAGGGTTCTAAGGACATAAAACACAGCCCCTACTTTCTAGGACTTTAAAATACCCCAAGCTGAAATTGGTGTAAACTCAGCAAATTACAGAAAAATATATGGCTGCAAAATGGATAATTGCCAACTGTGTATAATAGCTAATATTAGTTCTAATATTAGTTGAAATCACTTTGCTTAAAGTGCATGATTTTGCTCACCTCTTAAAACATGTGGCCTTGAAATCATTATCCGTTTATAGGTAAAAGACAATCACAGGTAGAATGGGATAACTGGACTAATAATGAAAATGGACCAAAATGTTCTCATTTGAATCTCAGCAGCAGGATGCTATTTTGAAACATGGTTGTTACAAAACAAATTCATGTTGCATCTTTAAAGCTATTTCCCAAGTCTACCTGAATTGTCAGAAGAAATACCTTCATTGAAATCGTTGTGACATCAGGCTGAAGTGCTGCCACCTTGGGAAGAGAAGTCGGATCTCACGGATGAGTGACTTGAGGCTTGCGCCAGCCTTAGCGGTACCTGGGGGCAGAGTAAAGAAAGGCACGCACGTTTCCCACCTTTCCTCAGCAAAAAGCTGCAGTGCTGCCTGCCTCGCGTTGGGCTTTGAAAATGTGCCCAGCTGAAGTGCCTTGGGGAGAAACTGCCTGGTTTTTTTTATGTGTCCTAAGTTGTTTATTAGGTAAGAATTTTGCAAACATTGCTTACGTTAGTGGTAATGGTGGAGCTGGAGAGTATTGCGCCTTCACCAGGCCGCACGGAATGGAACACCAAGAGTATGGTCGAACCTGCGGGCCTCTCCCAGGCTCTTGCGGGCCGCAGACGTCAGCCGTCGCATCTCCCTGTCGTGGACGGGTTTGGTGATCCCCGCGGTGTCCAGCTTCCGTATGATAGCTTTACGGAGTAGATCAGTGAGGGTGACCTCGAAGAATTTGCACGTGGAATCTTCACCAACCCAGTAAGACTTCAGGACTCAGAGCCCCACAGTGGCATCCTGCTCGCTCCTTGGCAACAAACTGACTGAAGGCTTCCGACAAACTCCAGCTGGTTGACACTGTGATGGACAGGTTGCCATAGGTCGCACCCTTGGAAACTGGGCATTTGCAGCCCCCACGGCGCACAAGAATCCAGTACATGATACAACCGTGCTTGGCCTTGTAACCCAGCCTGCGCGCTTTATCCGGCCTGGTGGGCAGGGTCCTTGTGGAGTGCAGAGAGCTGGCGGTACTACTAGCAGCACCCCCTGAGGAGAAAGCGCATGACGTCGGACTGCTGCCTCCTCCTCCATAGCTCCTGGATACACTTGTGAGCACCCGTCGTGGCTTACCTGATGGCTGCCGCCAGACGGAAAAGAGAAACTGCCTGTTTTAAAGTTAACATTTATTATAGGCGTGTGAAGCAATTGATTGCTTCTACCATTTATTTTTAAGAAACAGCCCTAATAAAATAGCCTTCCATTTGCCTCTGATGGAGTGAACTGTGTGTACGAGGATGTTAATTGACCATGTGTAAAACATTAAATCCATTCTCACTGCCTGCCCATTTGTGTTTCAGGCATCCTGACAAAAACAGAGATCCTGGAGCAGAAGACAAGTTTATTCAAATTAGCAAGGCTTACGAGGTATTGTATCTGCCTTTGTAATGCATCCATTAGATCTTATAAAATATGCTTTAGGGAATTAGTTTTGTGAAGTCCTCTCAGGACATGTTCCTTGTGCCCTTGACCCAGTTTCTAGTTGATGGTAGACCATATTTGTTCACATTCAGTATTTTGAAACTAGTTTCTGAACACTTAAGTTCTTGAAAAAAATGGCCTGTGTTAAAGGCTGCAGTTGGGATCGTGGAATTACCCTGAATATATGTCTCTGTTGCCTTTTTAGAATCATTATGTGCAGAACTACAAAACGATTTATCTATATTTATTAAAGTGACAAAAGGTCACAAATACATTTAAAGACAAGATTTTCAACAGCTTTCTACATGTCAGCTTAAGTAGGTTGGCCTAGAAGACTCATAATAAGTCCATGGTGTCCCAGTCTGTGTAAGATGATGCTTTTCAACAGACAGTGCTTAGTTCAGGATGACACATCGTCCTAAAACAGAGTCAGCTGACACGTAAGACACTGAACTCAATTCTGTGGTTACTTTTTGGCGTTCTCAGCTTTTCATATTTTGGTTTGAATTTTTCCAGCTTAAATGGTATGACCTAGTTGATTTTCTTGTGGTTGAGCCCTGGTGATCAACCTTAAGTTTTACTTGTTTTACTGATGCGTTTAATATTATGATAGCAAAAAACTTTAAATCCAATACAGACATATCTAAACGACTAAAGTAATTTGGTCTTGAAATACTTAATGTTTCTATTGAAAGAAGAATTTGCTGGTATGCTGAGTGACTGCATTGAGAATACCTCATTGTGTCATATCTACATTTATTTTCTTCCTTTGTCTTCCAAGCTACTTACGGGAAAGTCTTTTGTCGTTCTACAAATGCCTTATTTTTTTTCTTTCTTTTTAGATTCTTTCCAATGAAGAAAAGAGATCAAATTACGATCACTATGGAGATGCTGGAGAGAACCAGGGCTACCAGAAGCAGCAGCAGCAGCAGCAGCGAGAGTATCGCTTCCGCCATTTCCATGAAAATTTTTATTTTGATGAATCTTTTTTTCACTTCCCTTTTAATTCTGAGCGGCGGGACTCCATTGATGAAAAGTATTTATTGCACTTTTCACATTATGTGAATGAAGTGGTTCCAGATAGCTTCAAGAAACCCTACCTCATTAAGATCACCTCAGACTGGTGCTTTAGCTGTATCCATATCGAGCCTGTTTGGAAAGAAGTAGTTCAAGAACTGGAAGGATTGGGTAAGATGATTTTATTCTTTGGAAGATGTTTATATAGGAGAAGGTAACTTTTAAATCTCGAACTCTGTGGGATATTGGAGAGAAGGAACAGTGCCATTTCTCTTCACAAGTTCATGGTGACTAGTGTTTTCCAAGGACACATTTTCAGAGAGGGGAAATGTATCAGCCACTTTCACTTTGTGTTACTAATTTGAAACTTTATCTAATCTCTTAACATCTAGTTAGGGGCCTAATACATAGGAGAAAGTTAAAAATTATCGGTGAGTCTACAGCCATGCCACTCTGAACAAACTCGATCCCATCTGACCTCGGAAGCTAAGCAGGGTTGGGCCTGGTTAGTACTTGGATGGGAGACCACCTAGGAAGACCAGGTGCTATAGGCGTAAAAAAAAAAAAAAAAAATTGTTGATGAACAAAGCAGCCCTCAAGCATCAGTTTTAAGGCTGGTAGGATTTGTAGATTATTCATGTGGTATTTGTGATTTCACTGTGTGTTAATTTGCCGGGGCTGCCATAGGAAAATACACATAAACAGCAGAAGTTTATTTTCTCACAGTTATCGAGATTAGAAGTCCAAGACGAAGGGGTCAGCAGGTTAAGTTTCTTCTGAGGGGCCTCCGCCCTTGGCTTGCAGGTGGTCGGCTTCTCCCTGTGTGTTCTCACGGTCGTCTCTCTGTGCGTGCGTGTGTCTGCTGTCCCACTGTCGTTCTGTGTCCTAAACTCTTCGTATAAGGACACCAATCTTATCAGATCAGGGACAACCCTGAGGACTCTATTTTAACTTAATTACCTCTTTAAAGGCCCTATCCAGTCACATTCTGAAGTATTGGGGGTCAGGGCTTCAACATAGGAATTTGGCAGGGGGACACAATGCAGCCCATAACACTATTATGGTCGTGGGCTGCATCCTTGATCACAGATGAGCCGTTCCTTTGTTTGTCGTTGCCACTTAGCACCAGGAAGATTTTAGTGATCCAATTATTTTAATCACTCCTAAAAGTTGGAATTACTGAACTAAGTGTGTACGTGCATGCTCATGTGCGTACGTGTGTTATGGGCATTAGCAGACCTACTTTTGAGTAACAAAAAAGGGACAGACTCAGCTATGGAGGCTGAGGGCCAGGATTTTTCTGGAGAGATCATACCACCGAAAACCATCGACTCATTTATTATAAAACAGAAATTTTCAACCCGTCATTCAGAAGCACTCGGATACTCAGACTTATTGCCAAAACGCTTTCCTGAGGTTGCTTAGAGAAGTTCTTAGAAGATGAATCCGTTTGGCACAGTGTCTCACGTGCAGAGCAGTGGGCAGGTGCTTGCTGGTGAGTGAGAGGTGGAGGTCAGGCAGAAGCCTGGTGGAGCAACTCGGTCAGCACAAGGCGTGACTGCGACTTACGCCGTGCCGGGTGGCGTGCTGAAAACTGCTCTGACCTCCCTCCTCTGGGAGCTGACAGTGAGACCCAGTAAGGGAACGCGGAGGTGAAACCCGTGCGTAGATTAGGACGGTCGTGCATTTACAGCGGTCAGGTCAGAGCCAGCATATTTTAAACAGGTCCTGCAAACGGACACGCCATGAGGTAGCGAAGCACCGTGGTTACGTTATGACCACGTGCCTTGCAGTCAGATAGACCAGTGTTCAAGTCAACTCTGTCATTTATTATCTTTGTGTCCTTGGACAAATTACTTATCTCAAGTTTCTTCGTCTCTAAAAGGGGTGTAATAGTGTCAGACCAACAGGGTTGTTATGAATACTAAATGAGAAAAATTTTTAAGTGCCCGATATATATATTAAGTATTTAATAAATAGACCTTAGAGATTTTCTGATTAACGGGGTTTTCTGGTTTACCAAAGTAAAATTTTTAAAAGCACCTATTCCCTTTAGAAATCTTTCTTAAATGTACTTTCTTCAACTCACTAATAACCAACCACCAACTTTTAACTGACTTTTAGCTAAGTCTTAAAAGATGATTAGAGGTTGGCTGGGCAGGAAATGGGGGAACAGCATTACAGGCAGAGGAAACAGTGCAGGCAGAGAAACAGGGTGTTCTTGGAAGACCAGCAGCAGGGCGTGACGGGTGTAAATGCGAGAGGAAGAAGCAGAGGGCATGCTGGGAGCCAGGCAGTAAGGAGTGTTAAGTTCCAGGCTAAGGAAACTGGGATTTTATTTTATAGTACGTAATAAAAGCCAAGGAAAGTTTTTACATGGAGGAAGAAATTGAAATGATAATAGAGGAAGTGAGATTACCAGCCCTGGCAAGACAGCAGCTATTGGCCAGAAACTTGTCCACCTCTCTCTATTCCTACAGCTAGGGCAGTAGGAATAGAGAGAGGTGGACAAGTTTCTGATATTTCAGGGGTAGGATCATGGAGGTCTGAAGGGACCTGGCTCCTGGAGACCATTTGAATGTGAGAAATGAGGAAAGGGCGGGGTGAAGTCAGGATTGACTGTGTTTTGTCTCGAGCTACTGGATGGACAGAGAAAGCAGGGAGTAGTCGAATGTGGGGAGAAGCGGTTTTAAATAATAACTACAGTTTAGACATACTGAATGTGATGACGTGAAGTTAATAATGCAAGCGTAATATAATAGCTTATATTTGTTGAGAGTTTATCATATGCTAAGCACTGTTATAAGTTATCAACTCATTAAACAACAACCCTTCGAGGCAGGGGCTGTTGTCACCCCTCTTATAAATGCTTAGCTCACTTTTGGTATCTTGTCAAGGCCCCACAGTTGGTGTTGGCAAAGCGGGATTCGAACCCAGGTAGTCTGGCTCTGCAGTCCATACGTTGAACACGATGCTGTACTGCCTTTCAGTGTCTTTAAATCTTTGATGATTGAAGGTATTGCCATTCTTTTTGTCTATTATGTAATCTTAATGAATCAGGATTCAAAATGACAAGGATGGAAGAAGCTGGATTTAGATCCATAGAAGTAATATTGATTAGTGTGTTCCCCTACTCCACCCCCACTTCCCAATATTACATAGAAGTAATATTGATTACTGTGTTCCCCTACCCCACCCCTTTGGACCATCCAGATTAGTTGAAGATAGTCAGATTCTGCTTGATTACAATTGGGTGACATTGAGATGAGACCATTACAGTATTCACGGCCATACCCCATCCAGGTGAGGCAGCCCTACCCTTTAAGACGGATACTGCCAGAAATGTTTCTATTCTGAGTTGACAGAAAGAGCAGACAATGGCAGAGATCAGCTGAGTGGTCTGGGGAAGCTTGGACATTATCACAGAATAACATAAAATGCCTGAATTGCCATACATGAATGAAGGAGAACAGTTCTACCCAGAAGAGAAATGTTGCTATTTAGGTAGACTCTACAGTCATGCAACGTGGTAATAACTAGTGTGCAGAAAGCATCAACATTTATAGGCAACCATGCTGTGGAGGAGGGCCCAGAAATAGTCAGCACTGCCCCAACCTTGAGGAGCTTACTGTTTAGTTGAAGAGAATTCATACCAACCTCACATTTGCAAGTACAGAATAATATAGTAAGCAAAAGATGATAAGGAAATCATTCTGTGTTCTCATCTGAAACTTTTTTCTTGATGAACGTACTATATTAGACACCAACATATATGTTAAAATAATAATAGTTTTATGGAGCATTTCACTTGTTCCGTATTGTGCCAAATGCTGTGTATGGATTATCTTTCTCCACAAAGCAACCCAGTAAGGGAGAGACTGTTATTATCCATATTTTACAGATGTGGAAACTGAGGCCCAGGAAGGTTAAGGAACCAGTCGAAGTCCTTCTGTCCATAAGCAGCAGAGTTGGGATATGGACCCAGGAGTCCAACTCCAGGTTCGCTCTGTAGCCACTGTGCCACACTGCTTCAGGCCTAAGTAAAACTCGGTCCTTGTGTCCAAGAAACTCAAATAAGAGACGCACGTGAATCATCACAGCACACTCAGTGCTCCCTGGGAGGTGCAGGCAGAGGTACCAGGGTGTCAAGGAGGTTGAGAGTCTCGAAATCAAATAACATTTTAGGGAAAACCAATTTAAATGATCACACAGTGATTATTCGCCATGCTTTTTTTATTTTAAAAGAAGTAATAATTCCTCTCTTTCAAGGAATTGCTAAGTATGTAACAATTTCATATTGTCTAGGAAAAGGGTCTACCTAGAAATTGGTTTAAAAAAATCCACTTTAGCGCCTTGTCCTTGATTTTGTTTTATTGCACATTATTTCACATCTTAGCGGTTTGCTCATTAACAGGTTGTATTTAGCCAGATTTGACTGTGCCATGTTCTTCCATTTGGCTCTCTACTATCCCTTAAGGCACATATAAAAATTGAAAGAAAAATAGATGTGTGTATGCTACACAGGGGAAAAAGAATTTCCGTGAAATGTGGGATACACATTTCAGATTGTATAATGAAAACAAATATAATTTGGCACCTCAAAATAGAGTCATGACACAGATGTTTAGTACTATACAGAAAGACCCTCTTACAACCTCAAAAAGAGGAGAAAATATTGGTACTTTTAATTCCCCTGGATCTGCAAATTAGCCAGAAACTTCGATCCATATAAAAATCAAATAATGTTTCTGAAAGAGATCACATACGCTTTGCCTTTCTTTTAAAGTTGCTATTCCAGTTTGTTCGGATTCCCAGTTATCTTGAATCAAGATAAGAATCCCTGAATAGTTTCACAAGCTGTTCACCCAGCTGAGCTTGCTTTTTGAACCCTGAACGGTAAAGAATTTGAAGGCAGAGGAAGAGACAAATGGACTTGTTGTTCTCTGTGGCTTAGAGACCTGAAGTCACCAACCAGTCATTATGGTCATTTCTTGGTCTGAGTCTTAGAAAAGAATGCCGCCAACTTTTCTTACTCACCCTTCACAGCTTGGATGAGGGGCGCGGAGGGGGTTAGATCTGAACTTTAAAAGAATTGTGAAATTCTTATTATACTCGTAAATATTTTTTCAGAAAGAATGCCGCCAACTTTTCTTACTCACCCTTCACAGCTTGGATGAGGGGCGCGGAGGGGGTTAGATCTGAACTTTAAAAGAATTGTGAAATTCTTATTATACTCATAAATATTTTTTCAGAAGGAAAAATACCACCAATTTAAACACCAAATATTATCATTCTTTATTCTATTCTAATCCTTCTGATAGTTAATCTATAGGGGAGAGTAAAATTCCTTCAGAATTGAGAAATGGGATTATAATAGTAATAATTGAAATCCTCTCTAGAAATGATCCAAGAAAATAGTCTTTCTGTATTTGGAAACACGTATAATGAAGGTGATGTGTATAATTTCAAAGACACGAAGGGAATTTTAAGTCAAAGACATGAAACTTAATCACTTGGATTCTGTTTTAACTGGAAAAAAGCTCTATTGATGGCGCATAGGAAAGGTGGGGAAAGGCAACATCGGGGTAGGGGTTCCACATTGTTTCTCCCACGCTGCACAGGGAAGAGGCAGACTACTGGAGGATAAAATCCCCCTCACGTAAGACAGCCTAGGTCTCAGACTTCAGCATGGTCTGGGTGAAATAATAATAATGATAGTTGTAATTAATTAGGCACCTACCATAGTCCAGGCTCTGGGTTAGGTTCTTTTTTATGTTATGTCATTTAATCCTCAAAACTTATCTGCATTTTACCACTAAAGAAAACTGAGGCTCAGAGAAGTTAAATGACTTGACTAAAGTTACACAGCGAATGGGTAGCAGAGCTGGCTTTGAATCTGGACTTGACTCTGAATACTTTACTTGATTCCCGTATTTGTTTAAGAGAAAATTGAGTGCCTCAAGAACTGTTCTAGAGAGTAGGGATACAGCAGTAAACAAAGTAGCCAGAAATCCCTGTACTCATTGAGTTTATCTTCTAGCGAGTGGAAACAAAGTATGCCGCCCATCAAATGGTAGCAGAGCGTGGTAGAGCAGAGTGGTCCTGGGGAATGCCAGGGTGCACGGCTGCGGGGTGAGCCCGGGCAGGTGGCCCGCGGGGTGGGACAGTACGCGCAGGGACACTGGAGGAGAGTAAACAGCAGGCACGGAGATCTCTTCAGTTCTTTGCTTTCCCAAGAATGCCTGCACCCCTTGTCCTGAGTCCAAGCCCACCAGCCAGCCACCTTTCTGATGACTAAATCCAGTACCTATGTCTTCAGAAATCCGGCAGAGGGCACCCTGAATGACGCAGTTACTAGAAAGGCGTACTCCACGAGATCAGATGATAAATTGGCATCTGGTCTATGCGCCAGTCCCTGGTAGGGTCCTTTAGGGTGAGTTGGCCTCTAGGGAATCGATCACTGCAATGTTCAGAGGTCACGGAGAGAGGAGGACCCAGGTTTCGCACTCAACTGGGCCTGGGTTCACATCTTGGTTCCACGGCCCAAGAACTGTTGCCAGCTAAGTTTTCCTCAGCTTCTCTAAGGTCCAGTTTGCTGATCTGTGACGATAACAGGTGTTTGTGAGTATGAAAAGTGATAACGCCCGTGAAGCTCTGGGCGTACTCCCTGACTTACCAAGGGCTCAGGACATGCTGATGCCACCCCAGGGCCTTTGCTGTGTGGCCACTTGACCTCCTTTCGTGATGTCTCTTCTGTCTTTATGTAAAACCAGATCTCATTGTACACGTCTGCCGTCCTCTGGTTCTTTCTTCTGTTCACATAATCCTTACATGCACTTCCGTAATTGGCGCTGTTCCATTTTATTGTTAATGCCTCATAGTGATAGAGTAGTATACCAGACTTGGCTCTAGAACATCCAGTTTAGGTCTTGTTCTAGAATTTTAGCAGCTCACAAACTGGGATAAATCACTTCATCTCCCTGAATTTCTTTATCTATAAAATGAGGGGAGTGGACTATGTGACATGTAAGGTCCCCCCTTTCCTGCCCTTGAGAAACTCCAGGGGTCACGGTCAGGGAGCCTGCAGATGGATTTGTTTAGTCTACCTGACAATTTTAAAGTTTTAAGTTTGTGATCCCTGCTATTTATTCAGCAATTCCATTTTTGGAATTTAATTAGGAAAGAATCACACAATGTACAAAGATGCCCATCATAATATTCTCTACAATAGTGAAAGACAGAAGTGTGCAAAAAGAAAGAATTGCTTAAACAGATTGATGGCCCGGTTTCACTGAGCTCCGGCCACAGGCCAAGCTCTGTTCTGGTGCTTGGGATGCATCATGGACTGTACAGGGATCCCTGCCTTGCATGCAGTCCAGCAAGGAAGGCACAGTAAAGAACCGGCAGAAAAAGGAAAGCTCGTGATGTCTTAGAAGACCGTTAAGTGCTGTGGAATTGGGAAGGTGAGCAGGTTGAGGGGGATCCTGTGAAGAGTGGAGTTTTAAGTACGGTAGTGGGGTGCCCTCCTTGAGAAGGACGTGTGGGTGGTGAGGGTGCCGGCTCTGCAGATATCAGGGAGACACACACTCCAAGCAGGAGGAACAGCCAGAACCAAGGCCCCGAGGCAGAAATATACCAGTGGGTTTAGAAAAGAACAAGGATGCTGGGGCTGGAGCCAGGTGAGCGTGAGGAGTAGGAGAGGAGGGAGGTCAGTGGGGGACCAGGGACCTTTGCGAAGATGGTGGCTTTTATTCTGAGTGAAGCGGGGAGTCTGCAGGGTTTGGGCAGAGGAGTGACGTGATCTCTGCCTGTGTTACAGAAGGAGCAGTCTGGCTGCTGTGTTGAGAATAGACTGGGGAGACAAGAGAGTAACCATTTGGGAGGTACCGCAGCAACCCAGGGAAGAGCGATGGTGATGACGCAGAGAGGGGTGTGTGACGGAAGTGGGGAAAAGTCAGAAGCCTGGCATAGTGAAGACAGAACTCACAGAACTTGCTGCCAGGTTGAATGTGGGTATGAGAGACAAGAGAAGTTGAAGACGACTCAGGATTTTCGGCTTGAGGAGGCTGTCATCAGTGAAATGGTGAAGGCCTGGGTAGAACAGGTTTGAGGGAGGAGATCAGGAGTTCGATTTGGGAAATGTTAGAAGTCTGTTAGACGTGCAAGAGAAAGTGTTTGTTTACCAACTGTTAATATTTAAGGTGTCTCCAGCATTTAGCAGAGTAATGGGTCCTCCAGGTACTTTGGTTGAGTGGAAGAACAGGAAGTTATTCAGGTATTAAGTGAAATAGTATCAGATGCTCCCATTTTATTTTGCACGTGTGTATACAGACAGACATGTACTTGTATAAGAAAAGGTACAGACAGATATCAAAATATCAACAGGACTTAGATGAGATGAGGCTTTTGAGTGATTTTAACTTAATTTTTCTCCTTTTGAGAATCTGTATTTTCTGTTTCTATAAAATAATTTCTATAGAAGGGAGACATGCTCTGGAGAGTAAGAAACTATGACCTCCATCAACATATCATGGTTTTTCCCACCATTACTGAGTGGTTGGAACCGGGGGTTGTTGACAGTTTCTTTCTTTATGGCTGGGAACACTATGAATAGATTGTTCTTTTGTCTTTTGAAGTGTTTCCTAACGATCTGCTCCCAAACTGAGAAACAACAGACTAAAAGAAAGATTTGCGACTTTTCTTAAGTATTGCCAGACTGCTCTACAGAAGAACTGAGCCGCTTTAGAGTTCCAGCAACGAGAGAGCGTCAGGCAGTCTGTTAGGAAAGATGCCCCGTTCTACTAGGTCGGAATTCGTTTCACACCAAAAAACTAGCGCGCTTCTTCATCTGCCAGACGGCGTAAAAAGGCCTCATGTGGGTCTTCCCTACTTTTCAGGTGTGGGAATCGGCGTGGTCCACGCTGGGTATGAGAGGCGCCTGGCCCATCACCTGGGAGCACACAGCACACCCTCTATCTTGGGGATCATAAACGGGAAAATCTCCTTCTTCCATAATGCGGTTGTCCGTGAGAACCTACGGCAATTCGTAGAGAGTCTTCTTCCGGGGAACTTGGTGGAGAAAGTAAGTACCTGGCTGTGCAGTAGTTGACGGGGTGCCTGGGACTGCTGTCTGCCCTGATCTCTGTGGCCATCTCAGACTGGATTTCGTTTCGAGCAGGCAAGACACATATTAATCACGGAAACGAAAACATTTCAGTAAAGTCTGTCAGAGACTGAAATTGCAGCAGAAGTAGAGAGAGACGGAAAGAATTTCTCCCTGTCAGTAACCACTGTGAATGAAGGTTTACAGTCGTAGGAACCTGAGCCTAAAATGACAGCAACTATTTTCTAAACAAAAAATTAGACTGCAACATCGGATGAAGGATTTTTTTCTGAATTTGTTCATTTGAAGATAATTTTTTTATGAGAGCATTCAAATTAAGTTATATCTGATTATATATTTAATGATCTATAGAAAACACCAGATTCCATGAAATCAAATGTTATTTTTCGGAACTTTCAAAACATATAGTGATGCAACACTATGACTCAATTTTACAAACAAAAGGTTGAGCTAAAGAAGCTAGGCACAGAGTTCATACTAGTTTATTTTTCTGTTTAAGAAGCATATTTTCCCCAGTAACTTAAGTTAGGGATCACAGGAACTGGTTTCTTGTTTTGCTTTAAGTGACACATTCTTTTAACGGTACCACGGAAAGCGAACATACGGACATTTTCGTTGTATTTCTACCATGTTCGTAGACTGTCCTGCCAGCAGGACTGTCTACAGAAGAAATGTTTGTTGCAGTTAGCTGGAAAGGAGCTTGTCAGAAAGCACTGTAGGCTCCTGAACAGGTTGTCCTGGGAGGTCCTCAGACCTTCATGCAGTAGCTGTTCTATGCCAGACACTGTTGAGGACCCCAAGGGTCTCCCAGTCTAGGGGACAATTATTTCCATCCGACATGTTAAGAGCCCGACTTGGAGTTGGGAAAGGCTTCCTGGCAGAAATGACCCTAAACGGAGTTTACCAGGTGAGGAGAGGGGAGTAGCGAATGAGTCCCAGGCAGGCAGAGGTCTGGGACCTGAAGCAGCCTGCTCT